GAGTTGGCTGACGGCACAAAGTGCACTGGAGTTGCAGAGCAAAGAGGGGAGGCAGAGTTTTGCTTGATGGACAGCAGGGGGCAGTGCCACAAAACAACCCTGAAACAGGCACTGTACATCCCATCGTATCCACAAGACATCTTCTCTGTGAAAGCAGCTACCTCAAATGGGGCAACTATGATCTTCAAGCAAGGAAAAGACACCCTGCGACACAAAGACGGTACAAGGTTCCCAATATATGAGTACAACAGACTGTACTACCTACAAACAGTAAACACTGAAGGTAAAGACCAGTGTAAGGGTTGCTATGACATGCAAACATGGCATGAAATTCTCGGTCACTGTAATTATGATGACATTCAGAAATTACAGGGGGTTGTTGATGGTATGGCAATCAAAGGAAAAACAGACAAATCTGTCTTGCATTGTGAAGTGTGCACACAGGGAAAGTTTGTTCAAACTAGAAACAGGGACCCTGATGCACGAGCCAAAACCGCCTTAGAGCTGGTACACACAGACCTAGCTGGTCCAGTAGACCCAGAGTCCAGAGATGGATATAGATTTGCACTATCATTCACTGATGACTATTCCAGTGCGGTGTTTGTGTCTTTTCTGAAAAACAAGAGTGACACAGCAAAAGCGACACAGAAGTTTTTGGCTGATACAGCCCCGTATGGGCAAGTTAAATGTATCAGGTCTGACAATGGAACAGAGTTTATGGGAAATGAGTATCAGGCACTCCTTAGCAAAAATGGAATCAGGCATGAGACCTCAGCACCATACTCACCACACCAAAATGGTACTGCAGAACGCAATTGGCGCACTCTTTTTGATATGGCCAGGTGTATGTTAATAGAGAAGCAGTTACCTAAAGAGTTGTGGACTTACGCAGTGCAAACAGCAGCTGTAGTGAGGAATAGATGTTTTAACAGACGCACAGGACAGACACCATGTTTGATGCTGACAGGAAGAAGGCCAAACCTTTCCAGGATGCAGACATTTGGGTCAGTGTGTTATGCCTACAGGCAGAACAAGAGAAAACTAGACTCAAGGTGTGAGAAAGGAATTTTTGTTGGCTATGACAAGAACAGTCCAGCTTATATGGTCTACTACCCAGACAGTGGGAAAGTACAGAAGCATAGACTGGTGAAGTTTGAGACTAAAACAAGAGTAGAGAGACAAACACAGACTGACCAGGTGCCAGATGATGAGGGTGACTTTGAGACACCAAACAGGTTTACCAAGACCAGAGAACAGACTGATGTGAGTACAGAACACACAGATACTCAAGAACAGATCCCAGTAAGCATGTCTGAGATGAGCAGCCAGTCACAGGAGAATGAACTCGACTGCGAGGCTGCAAGGTATCCTTCCAGAGTGAGAAAAAGGCCTGGGTATTTAAGTGAATATGTTACTGACAAGGAGGATTGTGATCAAGTACTTACAAACATGGATTATTGTTACAGAGCAATGTGTAACATTCCCCAAACATTCAAGGAAGCAATAACTTCATCTAACTCAGAGAAATGAGTCAGTGCAATGGATGAAGAGATGCAATCACTAAGTGAAAATGACACATTTACCTTAACCACTGTGCCTGAGGGTAAGAAGACAGTGGGGGGTAGATGGGTGTACGCAGTCAAAAACAATGTTGATGGATCTGAGAAGTACAAGGCACGTTATGTTGCTAAAGGATATAGTCAGAGGATAGGTGTGGATTATGAAGAAACATTTTCCCCTACTGCTAACCTGACTAGTATCAGAGTGTTGATGCAAAAGGCAGCACAAGAAAACATGCTTTTACACCAAATGGATGTTAAAGCTGCCTATCTTCACGCACCAATAGATTGTGAGGTATTCATGGAACAACCTGAGGGTTATGAGGTAAAATCCGACACAAATGAAAAACTTGTGTGCAAGTTGAAAAAGTCGCTATATGGGCTAAAACAATCAGGCCGAAATTGGAACAAGTTGTTGCATGAATATCTGAGTGAGAACAACTTTGTGCAGAACCCCACTGACCATTGTGTTTACACAAAAATGACAGAAAATAAGAAGGTGATTCTGACAGTATGGGTGGATGACCTGATCATTGCTGCTAGTGATGAAAGTGAACTAACTGTTGTGAAGAAAATGCTTGCAGCAAAATTCAAAATGAAGGATTTGGGTAAACTGAGACATTTCATTGGTATAGATTTTGACCAGAGTGATAACTGTGTAAAAATGTCACAAAAACAATATGTGGAAAAAATACTTGAAAGATTCAACATGCAGGATTGTAAAGAAAGACAGACACCCTGTGAGCAAAAACTGAACTATGCTGATGATGCAGAAATGATGAGTGATGTCAAAAGGTACAGAGAGGCAGTTGGTAATCTGATCTATTTGGCTACATGCACAAGACCAGACTTGAGTTTTATAGTCAGTAAACTTTCACAGTACTTTACTGAGCCAACTGAAGACCAATGGACTACAGTAAAACATGTACTGAGGTATCTGAAAGGGACAACCGAGAAAGAACTGTGTTACAGGAAATGTGACAACAAAGAACTGAGGTTGTGGGCATACAGCGATGCTGATTGGGCAGCTGATGTAACAGACAGACGGAGTACAACTGGTTATTGCATAAGCTTGTCTGTAGATGGTCCTTTAATCTCATGGAAAACCAAAAGACAACCTACTGTTGCATTATCTACCTGTGAAGCGGAGTACATGGCTTTAGCTGCAACCCTACAAGAAGTTTTGTACCTAATGCAACTGTTACAAGGTATTGATGGACAAAAATATGCACCGCCAAAAGTTCATGAAGATAATCAGGGTGCCATTGCGTTGGCGAAGAATCCTGTGACGAGACAGAGATGTTAACATGTTGACATAAAGTACCACTTTGTGAGGTCAACTGTGAGTGCAGGAAAAATAACTCTGGATTATTGTTCAACAGAAGAGATGGTTGCAGATGTAATGACAAAACCTGCAACAAAAGTTAAGTTGTTCAAGTTTGAGAAGTTTATGTTTGGGCATTAACATGGTATACGGACATGTATACAGTACTGAGGAAGAAACCTTTTGTTTGTTGTTTTTTGTTTGCTTAAGAGCATCATAATATGAGAGCAAGTGGGGGTGTTGAAATAAGAAGAGAAAATGCTCTCAATTATGGAGACAGTCAAATGGTCTATTTATGTTTGATGTGTGCTTTACATTAGTGTGGCTGTTAATAAAGTTAGCGCGCTCTAGGGGGCGTATGCGTTCATCAAAATGGCCGATGGCTGATGTGTATTTTTTCCTCCCTAGAATATCGTCGGCGAAGTTTGCCATGTGCGTTAGATTTCACTGCGCATTTTCATACCTCTGCCAACAGCGAGCAAATGCAGGTCAGCTGCTCTTTGTAACTTCCAGATAACCTGTTAATGTCAGCGACTGCAGTCATCCTGTTGATTCTACTCAGACTCGGTTATCTTGTAATATTCTATTTACGTCAAAGGTTTAACTGACTGATGAAATACACATTGCTCCACATAAAATACATATTATCTGACACATTATTAACTTTCTAAGCTTATTGAATACAAAGTCATCAGCAGCAGTCGTGATAAGAAAGCGTTTTGATTTGCTTTCTTCCTGCTCAATGATAAACCTCCAACTGTTAAATGTTTAACAGCTAAACACGAGGTTTTTGGGTCAATTTTGTGTTCTCCATTCTTTAAGCACCGGTTCGAGCACCGTTTAAGCACCGGCACCGTTTCAAAAGTACCGGTTTGGTACTGGTATCGGATAAAACCTAAACGATACGCATCCCTAATCATGATTCAACCATTCTTTGATTAAAGGTATAATGTGTGGGGATTATATCATTTTAATATCATGTTTATTCATCCGTATCCTTTTTATTCGTTTATATCCTTTTTATTAAGCTTTGAAACTGATTCAAAGCAAACAAAAATGGTAAAATGATGTTAAGAGAAGAAAAACAAGATTGACATTATTAGACATACTGGAACTGGATTCGACGGGGTTTTCTAAGAAATTCACATTAGCTGACAATAGCCTCAGTTTTCTCCTATTTCTGTTTTCTTTTTTCCTATTTTCGTTGTGTTTTGTGTGGTTTGCTGCGTTTTTCTGTTCAGTGGAACTGGATTGGACCGGACAATGCTTGAATTTTTCTAGAAGTTCACATCGATCGACCACAGCCTGGATTTCTCCAATCTGAATATTATCATATGTCCCAGTGATTGACGTTGTGTGGATCTCTCCATCACCGTAAGTACGCCTGAGGAGTGCTGTGAATGAAATATCAACTTTTTCTTTGTGCCGAACAGTGGAAAATTTACAGGAGTGGTTTGGTGGCACGGTAAGCTCCACAGAGGCAGTGTCAGTCATACTCTCTGTCACAGTGGCTCCCTTTGTAAACTGAAACTGCACCTCTGTGCTGACTTCAACAGTTCCTCCCACAAGGAGTGGAATGCCAGCCTTAATGGTTGTGTTAGCCCCAAACTTGACAGAAAAGGCAAAGTCCCACCTCTGCTGCACCTCATATGTCTTTGAGAGTGTCACTGTTTTCACTACTTTGTGACATTCATAGTTGCTGATGGTTGCTTCATGCATGACCTCAGGAGGAAATTTGAAGACTTTAGAATCATCATTGTTGTATCTGACATTGTAAATCGTCTGGCTGATTACATTTTCACTGATGGTCAAGACCTTATACTTCTTGTATGAATATTCTTTATCCTTATAAGGCAAGTAGAAAACCTTATCTTTAGTGGACACCTTCCCCAGTCCATATTGGTTCTTGCCCACATATATTTGCTTCCCTGGGCAGGTCCAGACTGAATTCTTTGGTACTGAACCATACGAATCAGCCTTCCACTCCAGGATCTCAAAGTTGTCTTTGTTAACCAGTATTTCAAATTTATAACCTATTGTATTCCTTTTATTACTGGAAAAGGAGCAATATCGACCCTTGCTGGGCGTATAAAAGCCAGCGTCACACTTGTACTTACAGATATAATCAACTTGATTAGTATAGCCATTGTAAATCGAGACGGTATGATTAGGAAGAGAGTTGTTCCAGGTCACCCACATCAGGTTAGTGCCATTGATAGGGACAAAGGAGGAAGACTGAACTTGTCTCTTCTGTCTGAAGTTACGAACACTTAGAAGTGGCAGATTTGTTTGCATCAGTCTGTTCACTGAAGTTGGAGGGATGCCACTGGAATCTGTTCATGTGGATAAAAGGAAAAGGACATGCATGAAACTAAAATGCAGGCACACAAAGTAAAATGATGCAAATGTCTCAAAACATTATTTGCAAAGCCTCAAAATACAAATTATAATAGCATCATTAAACAGCACGATGCTATACACATCACCTTAATTTATATGTTCATTAAACAATTTTTCCTGTAGATAATTTCAGAATAATTTCCCTCTGAAATATGATGAAATGGAATGAAACACAAGGACCAGACTGGAAAACATGAGTAAACTCAAAGACCATGGGAAGACTAAAACGCAGACCTAAATCATCTTAATAAAGAAAAGACTCAAAAGTCCCAAAAATATACTCAAAAACCCTCCGAACATGTAGAAATAATATTATGTGACTCAATTTAATACTGTTTTTGTCATTGCTGTGTGCAGGCAGGCAGGAAGAGAGGACCCAAAATGCAGGACTCAGAGACAGAAGTAACTCACAATACTCAGCTTTATTGCTGGGAAGAAACTGAACAAAAACTAACTAAACTGGGAATACGGAGCAAACTAAACAGGTAGGCAGGCTGGCAAACAGAACACACAGTGAAAGTGAGGGTGTGACGCAACAACGAGCAGGGGAAGATGCAGACACTAAATACAAGAGGTGAACAGAGCTAAGAGGAAACAGCTGGGAGAAACGGCTGACGCTGATTACACTGACGAGACAGGGAGAGCACAAAGCTGAACGCACAGACATTAGGCACAGACCTACAAAATAAAACAGAAAGTACACGGCAGATAGAGAGATCCAGACGAGACACAGAACTTAACAGACGCAGACTCATACAAATACACGCCATTTACCATTTAAAATCAAAATCCAGAGGTAGGATCAGCAGCAACAACAATGGCAAATGTATGTGGGATATGAAAACAGGGGGAAAATCATATAATCAGGAGTGTATAAAATCAATAAAAGCTCTGAACAGCAAAGCTATGAAGACACTGAGTCAAGAGTCTGAACTGTCTCAAGATGGGGAATTCCCTTTCAGAGAGGAGCTAAACGTTTACAACCTGTTTTGAAAATGTGTAGTGTTGGTTAAAATTTGCAAACAAGCAGTGCTCACCTTCCATCTTCAGTCTGCTTTCGCTTGCTTCAACTGTCCTGTGACTTACTTTTTCTTTCCACTCTCTTATAAGGAGGCCAGTGAGATAAAAATAGGATGTGAGGGAGTTTCCTGAAAATATTTTGCTGTTATATTTCTGTGATGCAGGGCCGTGCAGAGAGGTTTAAAGGGGCGGGTGCTCAAAGTCAAAAAGGGGCACATTGAACCAGGCTGAATAACAACAACACACATTCATCAAGAATCTAATATGGGAAGGGCAGGGCTGTGTGGATCTGAGACTGTAGACATTAAAAAGTCCATAGGAGAGATGGTAGCTGATTAAACAAGTGTCATGAGATAATAACAAAATGCAAAGATTGGTGACAGCACTTGGAACCATAAGGCAACAAAAAACTGTGAGAAATAATTTAGGCTCTGCCTGTGAATCACTCTTTGCTTCTCTTCTTCCTTCCATCCCATCTTTTCATATATCACTCTCCACTTGTTCCTGAGGAACGCGAAAGGAGACCTTCGGCGTTCTTATGGTACGTGGCGGGTTATGGCTGGAATCCAGTGAAATGACGCTCCCGCGGTAATAGACGTTCCAGCCCTGTATTCCAGCCCTAAACCTAACCTTATCCCTAGCCCTGACCATAACCTTATTCCGACTTTAATGATGTTAAATAGCGTGTTTCTAAGCGATTTGAAGAAAAAGAGCAAACATGTGTAGATTCAGTCCAGACGGTTCTCATATTTCCTCTTTTTTCCGAGGTCGTCATTTAGGAACGTGGTGGGTAGCCGAAAACGTAATATGGTGACGATTTGTCACCTAGCGTAAAATGTTACGCTTTGGGAGTGAGAACGGGTTGTGCTGGTATATATGTGTCAATCTAATAAACTTAAACCTACGCATCCTCCCTATTCTGGTATTCTAAACAGTACCCGAAAGTAGACTGCTTGGTCGAGTTAACCTCCTGAACTATTTACAAAACATGGTGAAAACCTGAAATTAAGACAGAAGACTAGAGGTGAGACATGATCATTACTGATTACTGATGACAGATTTAGATATATTTTCATAAACCATTCATTTGCCACATCAATAAACACCATGGCAGGGCAAAATATTTTTTCTAACGTGGCAACCTTTAAAAAGTGAAAGGAGATAGAAAGACAGATGAGAAAGAAAAAACTTAATTGACTTTTTGATGGCATTTTACACACAGTACTGGTACAGTATCTAGAAAATGTGGGAAAATGCTGGCATCATAAACAGTACTTAGCTACTTCTGAAGAAATTATGATGGGACCCTAAAAAAATACCCATCCATCCATCCATCCATCCATCTTCATCCGCTTATCCGAGGTCGGGTCGCGGGGGTAGCAGCCTAAGCAAAGAGGCCCAGACCTCCCTCTCCCCAGCCACCTCCTCCAGCTTGTCCGGGGGAATACCAAGGCGTTCCCAGGCCAGCCGAGAGATATAATCTCTCCAGCGTGTCCTGGGTCTGCCCCGGGGCCTCCTCCCGGTGGGACATGCCTGGAACACCTCGCCCAGGAGGCGCCCAGGGGCATCCTTGCCAGATGCCCGAACCACCTCAGCTGGCTCCTTTCGATGTGGAGCAGCAGCTGCTCTACTCTAAGCCCTCCCGGATGGCCGAACTTCTCACCCTATCTCTAAGGAGAGGCCAGCCACCCTTCGGAGGAAGCTCATTCCGCCGCTTGTATCCGCGATCTCGTTCTTTCGGTCACTACCCACAGCTCGTGGCCATAGGTGAGGGTAGGGACGTAGATCGACCGGTAAATTGAGAGCTTCGCTTTTACACTCAGCTCGCTCTTCACCACGACTGACCGGTGCAGCGTCCGCATTACTGCAGCCGCAGCCCCAATCCGTCTGTCGATCTCCAGCTCCCTTCTCCCATCACTCGCGAACAAGACCCCGAGATACTTGAACTCCTCCACTTGGGGCAGGAACTCATCCCCGACCCGGAGTGGGCACTCCACCCTTTTCCGGCTGAGAACCATGGCCTCAGATTTGGAGGTGCTGATCCTCATTCCCGCTGCGTTACACTCGGCTGCGAACCGCTCCAGTGCGAGCTGGAGGCCCTCACCCGATGAAGCCAACAGAACCACATCATCCGCAAAAATCAGAGATGAGATTCTGAGGCCACCAAAGCGAAAGCCCTCCGCCACTTGGCTGCGCCTAGAAATCCTGTCCATAAAAATTATGAACAGAACCGGAGACAAAGGGCAGCCTTGGCGGAGCCCATCACCCACCGGGAACGAGTCCGACTTATTGCCGGCAATGCGAACCAAGCCCTAAAAAAATACTATGTACAATAATGGATTTCTATACATTTTACATCAGATGAAAACGTTTGTTGTAAGATTTATTTATTTATTTATTTATTTTTTAACTTTATTTACAAACAACAGTATAACATACAAGGCACCGTCATTAATCCGATTATGTTACATCCTCGGTTGAGCATTATAGCAAGAAAAACAAACAAACAAACAAACAAAAAAACAAAACGAAAAAAAAAACAAAAAAACAATAAGCACAAAGCTAAAAGAGTTAGTACAAAAAGAAAGAACAGTCATTGAAGGATTTGAACCAAAGGCAAAAAATAACATGAGCAAAAAAGGGCAGTCATGATTATAAAATAGGGAGGGGTTTTTTTGGGGGTTTTTTTTTAACATAGATTAAACTCTTTAAATAAAACAACAAGTTTATGGGGTTTCTTAGTATTCACAAGTTTCAGCGATTTAGCCCAGAGTTTAAAGTCATTCAGCCATCTGTTTATACATGGTTTAGCTTTAAAGTATCTGCATTTGTGAATAAAAAAATTTCCCATTAACAAAAACGTCCTAATCAACAGGTCAAAATCTGCATTCTCAGCAAGTATTCCAAACAGTAGCCAGCTCCACATGTCAGTCCAGAAGGAGTGCACTGATTCACAGTTGAAAAACAAGTGATCCAGACTTTCAATATCATTTTCACAAAATGTGCAGGCGTTCACATCTAAGTTAAATTTCCGTCTTAAGAATTCATTGGTTGGATAAACCTCATTAATGATTTTAAAGTGAACCTCTTTTACACCTTTCTTGGCTGCTACTTCAAAGCACATTGTGCGCTGTCTGTCCTGCGTGCTGCACAACAACATTGAATATTTAGTATTTACTGCTGTTTACACTTAGCTAGATTAATGCGATGGTGTTGTGTTTAGTATGTTGCTTTGTTTTTGTTTTTTTTGTTTTTTTTTGCTTGTTTTCTATTCCTCTCTCAACAGGTGATCCAGGAGATTTTAATTTTTTTTCTCCCCCGCTTTCTCACTGTCCCTCTCCCCTTCTGTTTTTCCTTTCCTTCCTCTTTCTTTTTCCCTTTCCTATCCCTCACTCATGTCTGTCCCGTCTGTAACATCTGAAAATAAAATATAATAAATAACAAAAACAAAGATCGATGAAATGGACCAATACGGCAATGCCACGATGATCCATTTGGCAAAGTAAACCCATTGGGTATCCTTGTTGGTCTTCAGACAACAATTCTGATGGCTAAAGAACCAAATGGGACAGGCCAAAAAGAAAGAAAAAAAAGTGAACCTCTTTTACTTTAGGAGAAAGAGGAAGTGAGATATACTTTTTTCTTATCGCCTTAACCTCCATGGTCTCAAATTCTTTAAGGATATAATTTTTTTTAACCGGATTAGGGCAAATTTCGTTTATCAAAATATTCCTGATCACTTTGTTTGTAAACCTGCTGTCACCAAATTCAACTCCAGTTATGCAGAGCTGCTTCAGTCCAGAAGAAATTTTAGAGTGCACAATATCTTCTTTTATCATTGATCTCAAAGGGACTGGGATGGCTTTCACTAGGGATTTATATCTGTTAGCAGTACATCTTACATCAAATTTCTCACAAAATGTCTCATGTTTTAATAAGACCCCATTATCATCCATAAAATGAGCTACAGCCCAAATCCCTTTAGATCTCCATTCATCCACGTACACAGATTTCCTACACAAACAGATATACCTGTTGTTCCATATAGGGGTATTGTGAGGAGTAAAGTTATGTTTATAGATTAATTTCTAGTAGAGAAGGAACTGCTGATGGAAAGCTGAGAGTTTAACAGGTAACGAACTGCAATCAAAGTCACAACGTAACAAAAAGTCTATTCCACCCATTTTGCCAAAAATCACACTGGGAATAATGTTCCAAAAGGAATTTTTGTTCCTAATGAAAGATCTTAACCATTTCAATTTTAGTACACCATTCATAACATCAAAGTCAATGGCATTAGCCCCACCCTCTTCATAATTCTTAATTATATAATTTTTCTTTATATATTGACATTTGTTCCTCCATATGAACCTAAAATTAAGATTATTTATAGATTTAATTAGTTTTGGAGATATGGGCAGAGAAAAGGCTGGATAGATTAGTCTGGATAGACTGTCCAAGATTCTCCCAAACAGAGTTATGTCCCTTTGCAGCCACCTGTTTAAAATTGACTTACACTTTTCTATATTGGTACAGATATTCTTATTTTCTGTTGATGTCTTATCCTTGCAAATTACAATGCCTCTTTTTTGATCTGTATATTATTTATTGCTTGCAGGGGACACTCATGCAGAGCTAGAATTTCACATTTATTAATATTCAGCTGTAGGCCAGAAGCTTTGGAGAAGTGGTTGATCGCCTGTAAGGCTAAAGGAATCTGGTCCTCATTTTTTAGAAACAGGGTGGTGTCATCTGCGAGCTGACTGATTATTATCTGTTCACCCATCACAGTTAACCCCTCAATGTGACTGTTTTTAATCAAAATAGACAACAGCTCAGGGCAGGGATAGCTCAGTAGGTAGAGTGGTGGCCCCATGATCGGAAGGTCGGGGGTTCGACTCCACTGAACAGCTACTCTGAGGTACCCCTGAGCAAGGTACCGTCCCTACACACTGCTCCCCGGGCGCTGCATTGGTGGCTGCCCACTGCTTCACTGGGTGAATGGGTTAAATGCAGAGGAACTATTTCCCTATGGGGACTAACACGCACAC